GTGGGTCTCTATGGGTGTCTATGGGTGTCTATGGGTCTCTGTAGATGTCTGCGGGTCTCTATGGGTCTCTATGGGTCTCTATGGGTCTCTATGGGTGTATATGGGTCTCTATGGGTGTCTCTGGGTCTCTATGGGTCTCTATGGGTCTCTATGGGTGTCTATGGGTCTCTATTGGTGTCTATGAGTCTCTGTAGATGTCTGCGGGTCTCTATGGATCTCTGTGGATGTCTGCGGGTCTCTATGGGTCTCTATGGGTGTCTATGGGTCTCTATGGGTGTCTCTGGGTCTCTATGGGTCTCTATGGGTCTCTATGGGTCTCTATGGGTGTCTATGGGTCTCTATGGGTGTCTATGGGTCTCTGTGGGTCTCTATGGGTGTCTATGGGTGTCTATGGGTCTCTGTAGATGTCTGCGGGTGTCTATGGGTCTCTATGGGTGTCTATGGGTCTCTATGGGTGTCTATGGGTGTCTATGGGTCTCTATGGGTGTCTATGGGTCTCTGTGGGTGTCTATGGGTCTCTATGGGTGTCTATGGGTCTCTATGGGTGTCTCTGGGTCTCTATGGGTCTCTATGGGTCTCTATGGGTCTCTATGGGTGTCTATGGGTCTCTATGGGTGTCTATGGGTCTCTGTGGGTCTCTATGGGTGTCTATGGGTGTCTATGGGTCTCTGTAGATGTCTGCGGGTCTCTATGGGTCTCTATGGGTGTCTATGGGTCTCTATGGGTGTCTATGGGTGTCTATGGGTCTCTATGGGTGTCTATGGGTCTCTGTGGGTGTCTATGGGTCTCTATGGGTGTCTATGGGTCTCTATGGGTGTCTATGGGTCTCTATGGGTCTCTATGGGTCTCTATGGGTCTCTATGGGTCTCTATGGGTGTCTATGGGTCTCTATGGGTGTCTATGGGTGTCTATGGGTCTCTATGGGTCTCTATGGGTCTCTGTGGGTGTCTATGGGTCTCTATGGGTCTCTATGGGTCTCTATGGGTCTCTATGGGTGTCTATGGGTGTCTATGGGTCTCTGTGGGTCTCTATGGGTGTCTGCGGGTCTCTATGGGTCTCTATGGGTGTCTATGGGTGTCTCTGGGTCTCTATGGGTCTCTATGGGTCTCTATGGGTGTCTATGGGTGTCTATGGGTGTCTATGGGTGTCTCTGGGTCTCTATGGGTCTCTATGGGTCTCTATGGGTGTCTATGGGTCTCTATGGGTGTCTATGAGTCTCTGTAGATGTCTGCGGGTCTCTATGGATCTCTGTGGATGTCTGCGGGTCTCTATGGGTCTCTATGGGTGTCTATGGGTCTCTATGGGTGTCTCTGGGTCTCTATGGGTCTCTATGGGTCTCTATGGGTGTCTATGGGTCTCTATGGGTGTCTATGGGTCTCTGTGGGTCTCTATGGGTGTCTATGGGTGTCTATGGGTCTCTGTAGATGTCTGCGGGTCTCTATGGGTCTCTATGGGTCTCTATGGGTCTCTATGGGTGTATATGGGTCTCTATGGGTGTCTCTGGGTCTCTATGGGTCTCTATGGGTCTCTATGGGTGTCTATGGGTCTCTATTGGTGTCTATGAGTCTCTGTAGATGTCTGCGGGTCTCTATGGATCTCTGTGGATGTCTGCGGGTCTCTATGGGTCTCTATGGGTGTTTATGGGTCTCTATGGGTCTCTATGGGTCTCTATGGGTCTCTATGGGTCTCTATGGGTGTCTATGGGTCTCTATGGGTGTCTATGGGTCTCTGTGGGTCTCTATGGGTGTCTATGGGTGTCTATGGGTCTCTGTAGATGTCTGCGGGTCTCTATGGGTCTCTATGGGTGTCTATGGGTCTCTATGGGTGTCTATGGGTGTCTATGGGTCTCTATGGGTGTCTATGGGTCTCTGTGGGTGTCTATGGGTCTCTATGGGTGTCTATGGGTCTCTATGGGTCTCTATGGGTCTCTATGGGTGTCTATGGGTCTCTATGGGTCTCTATGGGTCTCTATGGGTGTCTATGGGTCTCTATGGGTGTCTATGGGTGTCTATGGGTCTCTATGGGTCTCTATGGGTCTCTGTGGGTGTCTATGGGTCTCTATGGGTCTCTATGGGTCTCTATGGGTGTCTATGGGTCTCTGTGGGTCTCTATGGGTGTCTGCGGGTCTCTATGGGTCTCTATGGGTGTCTATGGGTGTCTCTGGGTCTCTATGGGTCTCTATGGGTCTCTATGGGTGTCTATGGGTGTCTATGGGTCTCTATGGGTGTCTCTGGGTCTCTATGGGTCTCTATGGGTCTCTATGGGTGTCTATGGGTCTCTATGGGTGTCTATGAGTCTCTGTAGATGTCTGCGGGTCTCTATGGATCTCTGTGGATGTCTGCGGGTCTCTATGGGTCTCTATGGGTGTCTATGGGTCTCTATGGGTGTCTCTGGGTCTCTATGGGTCTCTATGGGTCTCTATGGGTGTCTATGGGTCTCTATGGGTGTCTATGGGTCTCTGTGGGTCTCTATGGGTGTCTATGGGTGTCTATGGGTCTCT